CTGCCCCTGTGTTTGTCTGCCTCTGTATCTGCCTCTGTGTTTGTCTGCCTCTGTATCTGCCTCTGTGTTTGTCTGCCTCTGTATCTGCCTCTGTGTTTGTCTGCCTCTGTATCTGCCTCTGTGTTTGTCTGCCTCTGTATCTGCCTCTGTGTTTGTCTGCATCTGTATCTGCCTCTGTGTTTGTCTGCATCTGTATCTGCCTCTGTGTTTGTCTGCCTCTGTATCTGCCTCTGTGTTTGTCTGCATCTGTATCTCCCTCTGTGTTTGCCCTGCATCTTTTATCTGCCTCTGTGTTTGTCTGCATCTGTATCTGCCTCGTGTTTGTCTGCATCTGTATCTGCCTCTGTGTTTGTCTGCCTCTGTATCTGCCTCTGTGTTTGTCTGCATCTGTATCTGCCTCTGTGTTTGTCTGCATCTGTATCTGCCTCTGTGTTTGTCTGCCTCTGTATCTGCCTCTGTGTTTGTCTGCCTCTGTATCTGCCTCTGTGTTTGGTCTGCATCTGAAATCTGCCTCTGTGTTTGTCTGCCTCTGTATCTGCCCCTGTTTTTGTTTTGCCTCTGAAATCTGCCTCTGTTTTTGTCTGCCTCTGTATCTGCCTCTGTGTTTGTCTGCCTCTGTATCTGCCCCTGTGTTTGTCTGCCTCTGTATCTGCCACGCTGGCCTCGCACTAACGGCTGCACCTGCATGTAAAATTTCACAGGCTCTCAAGCACACCTGTATAAATGCCTCTCAGGTGTGTGTCATCACACACCTGTTTGCCAACGCCTGATTGTCTAAATTTGGACATTCTGGTCACGTTTAAAAGACTTCTTATTGAGTTTATATGTAAATAAACTTGTTGAAGGAAAGGTGTGTGTGTAATTAAAATATATATATATATATATATATATATATATATATATATATATATTATATATAAATATATATATATATATAATATAATATATAAAATATATATAATTACATACACACACCTTCTTTATTTACATTTTTTGAGGGTGAGATAGTGGAGGACATATTTACATTCCTCCTCCATTTACCTTCACATTTACAATTTACACGTGATGGGGATATTTACGTAACCCCGATAACCAGTATATTTACGTAACCCCGATAACCAGTATATTTACGTAATTTACGTGACTCGTTCAAGGCCTCGATTGACGGAATGTCTAATGAGTGACCCTTAAGGTTGAGAAATGTCTTGATAATATGGGAAGAGGCTCTTGATCAAGGGAATTGGATCTATGCTCTCATTCCTAGGATCAGTTCTGATTTCATCCTCTTTCAAAGGCGCAGTAAAAATCTGTGGATTTAGTTTCCCCTTAGAAACACTAAACCCGTACGGATTAAACAGCGATTATACATTGATTCCAGGGATTATTCTTGAATGAGTCGAGTGAGAGGAGGATTAACTGAGATGGTGCTTGTGTACAACGTAGCTCCCCTACCAACACTTACACAAGTACAACGTAGCTCCCCTACCAACACTTACACAAGTACAACGTAGCTCCCCTACCAACACTTACACAAGTACAACGTAGCTCCCCTACCAACACTTACACAAGTACTTTATATCAACACTTACACAAGTACTTACACCACCACTACGCCAACACTTACACCAACATTGTACCATCAGTTACGCACATCCACTATCTTCTCTCTCCAGCATCCCCTCTAGCAAGGCTTTTCACAATATCCTGACCAGCGTAGTTTTCCTCCTCTCACCATCCATCTCCCTCCTCCCTCCCTCCCTCCCTCCTCCCTCCCTCCCTCCCTCCCTCCCTCTCTCACGCTATTCACTTCCATCCGTCCTTCCCTCCTTCTAGCTAACACCGTCTTAAACACTTTAATATGTTAGGATTAAAACTCCATTAACTACCCGAGGGTCATTCAGGCTCTGATCTACCTTGATGCTCTCATTAAAATTACTATTATCCTGAAGATACTTGGTAACGCCCAGTATCTACATCTTAATATACTCGAAGAAAGTTTTTCTCATCTCAAATACAGATGATATACGAAGACAGTGGAAGGTGAGGTAATCAGTCCCTCAGTACTGTACCTCAGTCTTAAGAATATAAGAATGAAGGAACACTGAAGAAGGCCTACTGGCCCATCAAAACCAACGTATAATAAACACCAGCTTCTAGGCTGAGGGACTGATTACCTCATCTTCTGTCTTTACATATCATTTGTGTATTGAAAAAAGTCACTGGTTAGAGAAACGTCTTCAAATAAAGATGGCCGAGTGTTGCGCATCCGTAATTCCTCATATTGTTGGTATATACCATTATTGCCATGATACACGGTGTACATGATACACGGTGTACATGATACACGGTGTATATGTGATAACATGAATATCTTTTGTTGTATGTACACAATATGAACTACTTGGTACATATACACAGAGGCTCACCTCTCGATTTATGGAGAAAGAGACAGAGAGAGAGAGAGAGAGAGGCGCCTTTCGGTATACATACACTGAGATACTTCTCTCTAGGTGCATGTAAACTAAGAGATACACATGTCTTTGTACACACTGAGAGACACTTCTTGGTGTACATACACTGATAGACACTTCTTGGTGTACATGTACTGACCATCATAAACTTTTCTCAACATCATTGTGACTCTGGCAGTCTTTCCTGTCTTGAGGCGGCTATCAAACAGTCATTTTTTAAGTTCATTCTTATCTTGTTTATTTCCTGTGTACTTTATTATTTTTAAAATTAATTTCTTTACCACTCTTGCCGTTGCTCACCAAGATATAGTGGCCCAGAAAGCCCCCGTCATTCAATCAATAGCTGTCACGTAACATATTACCCATCCCCTCAACCCTCCTTCAGAATGCTGGCACTGTGCTTTTCACCTCCAGGACTCGAGCACGCCTAACCGATTTTCCTGGATGCCTTCATAAATGTTGCATTGGCTCACACTCCAACAGCACATAAAGTCATAAAAGCCAGTTGGCTTCACTTCTGTCCAAAATGCTCACGCATGCATGTTCAGGCCCCTAGCTCTCAAAACCTCCTTTTCGACTTCAATCCCCCAAGCCTTCTTGCGATGACTCTTATTCCTCCTTCCAACCCAGACGTTCTCGACAACCTCTCCTCCTCTCTGAATTATACATTTTTTTAATCCCACACTATCCAATTTCTATGCTCCGAATTCTCTGCAAAATATTCACTCCACACATTTCTCTCAGCCTCCAGCCGCAAAATTCAACACGCATGGTTCGCGTCCATATGAAAAGTACATTCCTATTTGTGTCTCCGTAGATAAGCTTTTCCACTGATGCTGCCTCAACACTCCGTCTACTTTTTACTTTCATGTATTCTATAGCCCACCTTTCATGACTCGTCTGCTAACATGTCCACTCCCACACATTTCAATACATTTATATTCTCCATACTCCCTTCAATCTGATAATTCTAAACACTCCTCCATCTCATTTTCGCTTATACAAAGGAACTGTATATTTCTCTGCCAGTCCTTTAGGTATCTTCCCTTCTTTCATGTATTTATTGATTAATTATACCAGCCACTCCAAAATTATATTCCCACCTGCTTGAAACACCTCTTAATCCCATCTGTCATTCTACCCACAACTGCCTCATGAGGCCTGGTCACAGACCGGGCTGCGGGGGGCGTTGACCCCCGAAACACTCCCCAGGTATACTCCAGGTAAGGTACACCGAGACACTCAAGTCTCTCACTGTATGTACACTGAGAGTCCACTTTAATCCCTATTTTAGGTGCTGAAAATTCTTGACTGGTGATGAACAGCCGACAGGCAGCCTTAATAACAGCCGACAGGCAGCCTTAATAACAGCCGACAGGCAGCCTTAATAACAGCCGACAGGCAGCCTTAATAACAGCCGACAGGCAGCCTTAATAACAGCCGACAGGCAGCCTTAATAACAGCTGACAGACAGCCTTAATAACAGCCGACAGGCAGCCTTAATAACAGCCGACAGGCAGCCTTAATAACAGCCGACAGGCAGCCTTAATAACAGCCGACAGGCAGCCTTAATAACAGCTGACAGACAGCCTTAATAACAGCCGACAGGCAGCCTTAATAACAGCCGACAGGCAGCCTTAATAACAGCCGACAGACAGCCTTAATAACAGCCGACAGGCAGCCTTAATAACAGCCGACAGGCAGCCTTAATAACAGCCGACAGGCAGCCTTAATAACAGCCGACAGGCAGCCTTAATAACAGCTGACAGACAGCCTTAATAACAGCCGACAGACAGCCTTAATAACAGCCGACAGGCAGCCTTAACAGCCGACAGGCAGCCTTAATAACAGCCGACAGGCAGCCTTAATAACAGCTGACAGACAGCCTTAATAACAGCCGACAGACAGCCTTAATAACAGCCGACAGGCAGCCTTAATAACAGCCGACAGGCAGCCTTAATAACAGCCGACAGGCAGCCTTAATAACAGCTGACAGACAGCCTTAACAGCCGACAGGCAGCCTTAATAACAGCCGACAGGCAGCCTTAATAACAGCCGACAGGCAGCCTTAATAACAGCTGACAGACAGCCTTAATAACAGCCGACAGGCAGCCTTAATAACAGCCGACAGGCAGCCTTAATAACAGCCGACAGGCAGCCTTAATAACAGCCGACAGGCAGCCTTAATAACAGCTGACAGGCAGCCTTAATAACGACCCTCGCGTAGTAGATAGACTCACGTCGATTTAGTCTTCTCTTCTGTTAACATATGTTAATGTCTGTAACTAGTTAATGGTGCAAGATGGACCGAAACATCGTCTTAAAAGTTTGTCTCATGTGCGGTTTTAATGTGGCCTGATGTTGGTGAGGGGCTCTTGATTTAGGGAATTGGATCTGTGCTCCAGTTCCCCGAATTAAGCCTGAATGCCTTCCACATCCCCCCCCCTAGGCGCTGTATAATCCTCCGGGTTTAGCGCTTCCCCCTTGATTATAATAATAATTTAATGTGGCCTGTGTCCCCCCCCCCAGGACCTCGGGGAGGTGCTCTTCGGCCTGAGTTACTTGCCCACGGCGCAGAGGCTCTCCGTGTCCGTCATCAAGGCGCAGAACCTCAAGTATACCAACGTGACCGACGATCTTAAAGACTTCTGTGAGTAGCAGCGGGTGAAACGTGCTCTTCCACACGTTCCATGTCATTCAATTTGCAGAAATGGAACCTATCTATTATTTTATTATTTTTCTTCTGATGCTGCTGTTCCTTGTTTTCCTCCCGACCTTACTGACAGTGACGTGACTGACAGCAGTGGAGTGGCTGACAGCAGTGACGCGACTGGCTGACAGTAGTGACGTGACTGGCAGTAGTGACGTGACTGACAGTAGTGACGTGACTGACAGCAGTAACGTGACTGGATGACAGCAGTGACGTGACTGACAGTGGCGTGACTGACAGCAGTGGAGTGACTGACAGCAGTGACGTGACGGGCTGACAGCACTTCTCAACCACCACTGTCTTTTACGAAGTGCAGCGATATTTATCATTTTCCATTTTTACCTTCAACCAAAAGCACCGTCATCCTTGTGCTAGGCAGCGTTGATGGCGTCACTGTCAGATAATACCACCTCTCTCTCTCTCTCTCTCTCTCTCTCTCTCTCTCTCTCTCTCTCTCTCTCTTTCTCTTTCTCTTTCTCTCTCTCTCTCTCTCTCTCTCTCTCCGGCTGCAGTATAACCAATTTCGCAGCAGTGTAAACGTTTGCTCCCATTGTTGCCAGAAGCGAACAGTGCTGTCGTCAGCAGATGTTGGATCATGTTTCTTTATAATTTGCTGCGATCTATGAGAGGGAAGGTGTGGCATCCAGGGAAGAACAGGAGAGGGATGAGAGGGCAGGTGTGGCATCCAGGGAAGAATAGGAGAGGGATGAGAGGGCAGGAATAGCATCCAGGGAAGAACAGGAGAGGGATGAGAGGGCAGGTATAGCATCCAGGGAAGAATAGGAGAGGGATGAGAGATCAGGTATAGCATCCAGGGAAGAATAGGAGAGGGATGAGAGGGCAGGTATAGCATCCAGGGAAGAAACATGAGAGGGATGAGAGGGCAGGTATAGCATCCAGGGAAGAATAGGAGAGGGATGAGAGATCAGGTATAGCATCCAGGGAAGAATAGGAGAGGGATGAGAGGGCAGGTATAGCATCCAGGGAAGAATAGGAGAGGGATGAGAGGGCAGGTATAGCATCCTGGGAAGAATAGGAGGGATGAGAGGGCAGGTATAGCATCCAGGGAAGAACATGAGAGGGATGAGAGGGCAGGTATAGCATCCAGGGAAGAACAGGAGAGGGATGAGAGGGCAGGTATAGCATCCAGGGAAGAACAGGAGAGGGATGAGAGGGCAGGTATAGCATCCAGGGAAGAAACATGAGAGGGATGAGAGGGCAGGTATAGCATCCAGGGAAGAAACATGAGAGGGATGAGAGGGCAGGTATAGCATCCAGGGAAGAAACATGAGAGGGATGAGAGGGCAGTTGTTTCCGAAGAGGGGAAGCAGTGACAAGTGTCATCACATTCACGGGAAGCTCTAAACCCGTTGAGGAATGGCACTCAATCAGGTTTGATCCAAGGAAGGTGAGGACACCTCCAACTTCACCTCCACTAAACTTTATTCGTCTTTATTACTATTTTTTAAGTTTGTTGTTAAAATAAAACTTTAATTTATTCTTTATATATTTTATAGATTAATTAAAATTTATTATAATAAATTTTAATTAGTCTTAATATAGATGTGACAATTAAGACTTCAATAAATGTTCCTTGTATTTATATCTTTGGTTATATTACTTCAAACTTTTATTAATCAACTGATTAATATTGATTTATGGACTTGGTTAATAAGTTAATGGATTGAGTGGTTGATTCGTATATTTAATTCTTAATTGTTCTATTGATCTGAGTTATTGATTAATTAGCAAGTTGTTTGGTTTATTAATTGATATGTTAATTTATTAGTTTATTCCTAGTTTATTGATTAAGTTAGCTAATTCATTATTTGATTAATATATATTTGACTGAGTTGCTGGCTTAGATTAAGTAAGTTTTGTCAGGAAACGGGACAAGTGTTCCCCGTCGTGAGTCATAGGATGACCTGCACCTGGCTTGATTAATAAGCAATTTAGCTGATTAATTCATTGAGTAATCTTGTGTATTTTGTGGTCTCCAGGTCCATACATCCGGGTGCTGCTGATCAGTGGGTCTGGACGGGTCCTGAAGAAGAAAAAGACCACCTGGCGGTCCAACACCGTCTCTCCCATCTGGAACGAGACCCTTATCTTCGACCTGACTCAACCCCAGGTATGTTGGTCTTGGTCTCGGGTCCTAGTTCCGATTATGTTGATCCTAGCTCCAACTCTATTGGTCCTAGCTCCTGGTATGTTGGTCCTGGCTCCTGGTATATTGGTCCTAGTTCTAGTCTTTGCATAGCTAATGTTTGGAGTACTTATTGTATTGACGAGTGAGAGAGACTTGGGTATCTTTGCTGTCGAAACGTTTCGTTTGTGTAGCAAGCTTCTTCAGTCACACACAGCCAATTACAACACTGGAGACAGTGGAGATTGGGAGGTAATCACTCCATCATTTTGACAGATGAAGAACATTTCCTTAGCAGAAAGCAGAGGCATGAGGTCAGACTCGTATACTAGAGCTAAGAGTGACGTGTAGCAGCTGGAGGAGGAGGCACAGGTGAGTGGAGCCCTCTAGTAGAAGTAGGTCATGCTGAACAGACATGGTGTTGCTGTGTCAGACGAGCAACACCTGTGTAATTTATCATTCATCCCACGTAGAGATATCTGATTTACCCAACGTTGTTATTATAAGCAAGGGGAAGCGCTAAACCCGCAGGATTATACAGCGCCTGTGGGGGGATGGAAGGTATTCAGGCTTAATTCAGGGAACTGGAGCACAGATCCAGTTCCCTAGATCAAGAGCCCCTCACCAACATCATGGAACCGTCCTTGAGGAGTATCCAGCGTTGTGATTTGATTGCACTGATTCTCTACTATACTAACAGCTTCTCACCAAGGTAGGGTAACCCAGAGAAGGAAGCATATTCACCATTACTCATTCAGTAGCTTGCTAGCCATAAAATTATAGATAGAGCTCAGATGAGCCACCTATTACATCCCCACCCAATCCTTCTGAGTGTAGGAACGGTATCCTCATTTTCAAAGCTTTATGATAATTTATCTCGCGCAGATCGCCTCCGCCTTACCTTGCTTACATGACTGATGCAAAGTGATCTTCCTGTTCCTTGGCAGGTTGAGCACGTGACCTTCCTGCTGGTGTTGTGTACACGGTCACCACAGTACCCAGTTACCCCCACTAGCTCTGATGCCTCCAACCACTCCGCCAACGCCCTTCCCGACACCCACGATGTCCTGGTACCCCCGGACATCGCCAACTCACCCATCCACGACCAGAACCAAAATAAGAAGGAGGACAGATACGTGGGCAAGTTGGCGCTGGGTTGCAATGTCCGGGGTGAGGAACAACGTCAACACTGGATGGCCATCATGGCTTCTCCCAGGAAGGTCGTCTCCCAGTGGCACGCCCTCAAATAGACAACATCGTCTTGTAACTTAGAAAATATAATCTCCCATTCAAGAAATAGTGAGAGATGTGCAATGTGATGTAAAAGTATAGAGATGTGAAGTAATAGAGTTTAATCTAGTCGACCAAAGGTTAAATCGGTGCTTTAAGATGTAAATGAATAAACTAAGCTGGAGAAAATAGACTCGCCAATATGGACACGCTATTAAATGAAGCAAGACGAAATTTTTAAATTAAAAAGTGAAGAAACCATAAAATTGGTAAATTAAAACAGAAAGTGCCATTTGAGACACTTTGCTAATTAGGGGAATTAGGCCATAATTTTCTCCTATTTAGTAATGAGCAGCTCAAACATTTACATTTGTAAGTGTGTGTAAAATTGCGTACGATAATCGGGTGTGTTAGAAGGGCAAGGTTGGTGCAGCTGACCTGCTTTCCTCACCCCTCACACAGGGCCAGGAGCTATGTCTCGTCCCCTGCAACCACATATAGGTGAGTACAGGTTGCTCACTCTTGTAGCACCTTTGTCATAAAAACTGTTGTGGAAGCATACATAAAGGTTTTGGTGTTGGGCGGAGCTGGAAACATTTATTTTGAGTACGTACAGTAATTAAATGTGAAATGTCACTAGTTGATGTTTAGAAATTAGTACATAATACATTTTTTCCATGTGTATGTGTTATATAGATAATTTTACACTCACACACAGACACACACACACACAGGAATGTTAGGAAATATTTCTTCAGAGTTGTCAGGAGATGGAATAGGCTGGGAAGTGATGTAGTGGAGGCAGGATCCATACATAGCTTTAGGAAAAGGTATCATAAAGCTCATGGAGCGGGAAGAGTGACCTAGTAGCGGCCAGCGAAGAGGCGGGGCCAGGAGCTGAGTTTCGACCCCTGCAACCACAACTGGGTGAGTACACACACACTGGGAAGTGATGTAGTGGAGGCAGGATCCACACAGCTTTAGGAAGAGGTATGATAAACCACATGGAGTGGGAAGAGGCGGGGCCAGGAGCTGAGTCTCGACCCCTGCAACCACAATTAAGTGAGTACACACAGTCTGTATGTCTCTCAGAAGTACAGGAAGAGAGGAGACTACAGGAGATACTTGTAAACAGTGTAGCGGGAAAGGTGAAAAAAGATCTAAGCCGTAAAGAGCAGGAAGACAATGAAAATGACAAGTTACACCCAAACGAAGAACGTTAAGATCTGTGTTTCTTACAGACGTACAGAGGAGCGTTTAATCTCATGAAATGGAGAAAAAACAGTTCATTATATCAAGAGCTCCTTGCCAACATTAAGTAACCTCTCTCGAGGGAAGAGAAGCAAAGGCAAACAGCACAAGAACATGGAAAAACCGGAGCACAGAACAAAAAAAAAAAATTCAAGTCAATCTGGAAACATGACAATTGTCAGAACAACGGAAAACATCAAATGTTGGTACAATATTCAAGCAAGGAAAGTAAGAAGCATTGAACTGCAATCATAGATCCTGTCATGTATGACATACAAGGTCATGGAGAAGATAATCACACGTCGTTAGTCTCACTTTAGCAGTTCGAAGACTACTTGGAAATGCTACAAGTTTCGCAGAGGACATAGAAATGCTGCAAAATGACAGGAAAAACTGCATTGATAGACACCGAACTAATGTAATTCGGTCCCAGAGAGTGCAATGCTGTGAAAATTAACCTCTTCAAGTTGTTGAGGTGAAGAGGCTTTTGGTCTGAGGATTTGGACCTTTTGGTCTTCTTCCTCAGACCGAACCTAATTACCCCCTAATCCTCCCTTCTCTATCCCATCTTCCCCATTCCCCTTTTTTCCCACCTCCCAACCCTCCCCTTTTCCTCGTCCCGTTTGTAGCCTCTTGGGTCCTCCCCTCTGGCATTACAGTTTCTAAGTAGGGGGAAGTGTGCCGGAGTTCATCACACTCCGTGAGGTTCCTCGGGTGTGGTTAGTATGCAGTGGAATCTTGATTATCTGGGGGCGCCCTGCTCCCTTTCTGGATTTCTGGGAAGTGGGCGGGGTGTCCTGCAGATGACGAGTGTATCTCCAGAGGCTGCCTTAGGAGGTATGCTTGGTGGCAGATTTCCGACTGCCCTCTTATCTGCCGAGGTGGCTTTGTAGACGTGAAGTTGCTATCAGCGCTGGTTTACTGGTGTGAAGGGTAGGGTATGGTGCAGGTTCCACGCTGCATCTGCACTACTTGTGGGCTCGAGGTCCTCTCGGATGAGGGGGGGGGGGGAACCTACAGCCCTTTCATGCCTTCTAGTGACTGTCCCTCCCCATTTTTTGTTTCTTTTCATCTTTTTTTTTCTTTAAATAAGAAAAAAGTACCACTATCATGGAGTCTTCATTCTGTGATAACCCTCCTCCTCCCAGGCCCCTTCTGATTCCCACATCCTGTTCTGACCCGGCTTCGTTATTGGACCATTCTCCAGGCTCTTCCCATACCATTGTACCTTCTACTGGTGATGCTCCGTCACCTGCTCAAGGTGCTGGGGCTCCGCCTGTTTCTGATTGTGCCTCTACCTCTTCCATGCCTTTAACTATGTGTCCGGCTTCCCCAAATACAGTATGACGGCTTTCGGATCGCCCACCTACCTCGGGTTGAGCCGCCCGCAGTACTACCCCTAAACGTTCCAGACCATTTGCTGACGACGGTTCTTCAACATCTGCTTATTCCATTGAAAAATGACCTACGCGACACCCACTTCACTTACGCACCATGTTTACAAGTACACAGTGGACTAAATTCTTTTCCCTGCAACAGACATCTCCAACTGATTATATTTCTGACCATAGCATTGGTAAAGCTCTTTTACGACAAGTTGGCCAAAGTATATCTTTCCATGCTCTTCGAAGAGGTGCATCGTTACAATCCAGAATGCAGAACAACCTCATGCTCTTTCCCAACTTACTTCCGTTGATAACATTCAAATTAGTTCAGAGATTATTTTCCGGTCATCTCGGCCCGTCTTCATGGCTGTCGGCAACAACGGTGGTCAGGCATGCACCATAACAGATTGCACTCTATTAAACCACTTTTAGGTTTGAGGCCATCTTCTCTCCACTGTTGCCGTACTTGGGAGGCGGTGCTCTCCCATCTCCACATTGACCATACTCGTCTAACCCATAGGTGTCTCATGGAACGACATCCTATTCCTCTCTGTGAGGTTTGTCGAGTCCCTGTTTCAGTTCTTCACTTTTTTGTATATTGCTCGGTTTACCAGCAAGCTCCTCTTCAAGGGGGGCTCCTTGGCGTGGTGAAGAGGCTCTTGGTCTGAGGAATTAGACCTGTCGGTCTACTTCCTCAGACCGAACCTAATTACCCCCCAATCCCCCGTTCCCTATCCCATCCTCCCCATCCTCCCCTTTTTCCTTTCCTCCTCCTCCTCCCCATCCTCCCCTTTTTCCTTTCCTTTTTGGCCTTTTTTTTCCCACAGGCACGCTAGTTCCTAGGTAGGGGAAAGGGTACCGGGGTCCATCCCTTTCCGTTGAGGTTCTTGGCGGTGGCGTAGTTTCCGTGGAATCGGGATTGCCTGGGGATGTCCTGATCCCTCTCCTGTATCCCGAAGGGTGGCTTTGGGTGTCTCTCAGGCGACGGGTGTATCTCTGGAAGCCACCTTTCGGATTCCGGGGGTGGTGGCCGAAGGAGGTATGCTTTGTGGTGGATTTCCAGCCGCCCTCTCTTTTGTCCACCAAGGTAGCTCGGCAGATGTGAGGTTGCTATCCCGGATTGCCGTTTACTGGCATGATGGGTAGGGTATGGCAGGGGTTCCATGCTGCAATCTCGCTACTTGCAGTGCTGAGGTCCTCTTGGGCATGGAGGGAGATTTCTGGCCCTTTCATTCCTCCTAGGAACTATCCCTCCCTGGTCCCCCCTTTTTTTATTCTTTTTTTTATTTTTATTTTCTTTCTTTTTTTTTCTTATAAACAAAAAGAAAGAAGTAACCTAACCATGGCAGCCCAAAGTCCATGAACCTGCTACCCCTGGGCCCCTTCTTGATACCGCACCCCGTTCTGACCCCGCCCTCGTCTTTGGACCACTCTCAGACACTCCTCATGCCTCTGTACCTCTTGCCGGTGCTTTTTCCCCTCACCCGCGTCAGGTACTGAGCCTCGACTGACTCCTTCGATTTATCTGACCTTCGCTCTCCTCTGACTATGCTTCCGGCCTCTCCCTCTACGGTGCGGCAATTTTCAAATCGCCGGCCCGTTCCACGTCAGACCAACTCTGGTCCCACCCAAACGACAATGACAATTTAAACCCTGCTGATGATACTTCTCCACTTCTCGTTCTTCTCAGAAAGATCGACACGCCCCTTCACTACCTTTCCACGCTCATTTCCCAGACTGCACAAGGGACTAAATTCTTCACTTTATGACCGACTTCCTCTACTCCCTATTTACAGTATTGGCAAGGCACTCCTACGCCATGTTGGTAAAGATATTCTTTTCATGCTCTAAGAGCGGTACCGCATCGTCACTGTACAGAATGCTACCCGGGCTCATGAGCTTTCTCGTCTTTCCCATATCGATACTGTTCCTGTACTATTGAAAAGCATCATTCCCTCAATCTTGTAGTGGTACCGTCTTTCGGGCCCCCATACCATAGTTCAACAAAATTTCCAGACATGGGGCACTGACATTTTTGAACAGCTGGAACTCCAAGATCTCCCATCCTCAAAGATAGACACTTACGTCCTTCCTGCCCGCGGGCAAGACATACCCTAGCAATGTGGCTCGTTAACTTTTGACAGCCGTGAACTCCCATCCTCAGTTTATGTAGCAGGACATCGGTTACAAGTTCGAAAGGTGATCCCTACACCGCAACAGTGTGAAATTGCTGGCGATTTGGCCATCCAGCAAAATATTGCAGATCTATCGCCGAATGCCCAGTCTGTGGTGCTAAATGACCATTCAAACGCTTGCAATCGACCTCCCTCTTGCCTTAATTGTCATGAGGCTCACCCTTTGTACTCTCGCCGTTGTCAAGTCTACTTAAACGAGCGGGAAATCCGTTACCTCAAAGAGGCAGAAGGTCTCCCTTATGCCATGGCAGTTTCTCATCTCCGCCCCCAAAGGGGAGACTACCTCGTGTTTCTTATTCCCATGTTTCAAAACGTCCCCCCACTTCTGGTATCCATCTTCTGCACCCACCTCTGGGGTTACCTCTCCCATAGTCACTCCTGTAGCTAATTCTTTTGCTGTCCTCGGCTCAGACGTCCCTACTTCAACGTCTCAGTCTGATCTTGCTTCTTCGTGTTCTCTCTCACAAGCCTCAGTAGCGACGAGATCTCGTATGACAAACCCCCTCCCAATCGTCCCTCTACTTCTCAAAAGTCAAAAAAAAGGGCCGTTAACACCTCCTACCCATCTTCCACCTCATTTTCCCTTCCCTGTCTCTGTACCTGGTTCTCCCCCTCTCCACTGGCTCTGTTACAAGTGTAGAGGTTTACCCCTCCTCCTCGTACTGTACCTTCCTCCCCCGTTCCCTCCCAATTTTTTCTTCTTCAGCCACCTCCCAGGTTTCTGCCTCTTCTGTCCCCTTCCACGCTTCTTCCAGTTCCCCCACCCTTTCCCTCCCCCCCTACCTTTGGGACAGTCCATTACAGTTCCAATCTTTAAATCATCCTCCCCCTAAACCCTTTCCAATATTGTCTCCCATACACGTCTCTGAATTCTGAAACACTTGAAGCAATCTCTGAATATATTGCAAGACCAAAACCATCAATGGGCACTGATCCACCCTCCACTCCTTCTCCCCTCCTCTACTCCATCTGTGCAACCCTTTCTTCACAGCGCACCGTTCCTTCGCTGCTTGAACGTTTTCACTGCCTCCGCATGTGGACTTTTTTAACCCCCCCTAGTCCGTAGAACCCTTACCTGGGGATTTCAGGTATCTCTACATTGCCAATCATGGCCTATTTACAGTGGAATAAATGCGGCCTCAGGGGGAAAACGGGTGAGCTTCAGATTTTACTCTCCCAGTTTTTCCCCTGTTGGTGTTTTTCTTTTCAGGAACCAAAATTACACTCTGCTGTTACTCTCCCATCTCAGGCTATAATTTAAATTTTATTCTTCAGATCCTTTTCCTGATGGGACCTTTTAAAGAAAGTGCCCTTCTTCTACCACTGAATTCCGTACCATCAGCTATTTGTTCGTACTTCGCTGCATTACACAGCACCCGTATCCACTTGCATAGGGGGTATACGCTCTGTTCTTTATATCTCTCTCCTTCTCGGGCTTATCTATTCCGGATATTGCCTTTCTTGTTTCGTCATTACCACCCACCGATTCTGTTACTTGGGGATTTTAATGCCCCCCATTTCCTCTGGGGGGGGTCTCACTGTGATTCCCGTGGCATTCAGTTTTGGAGGCTTTTCTTGCTGCCCCCCCCCCTCCATGTTTTAATACAGGTACTCACAACCATTTTGATCCTCAACTCACACCTCTCTTGCAAACAATCTCTCAGTCTGCTCTTTCCCTCCGCCGCATTAGACTTCACTTGGTCTGTTCTTCCGGACTTACATGACACGATCATTTCCCAATCATTTTTTACTTCCCCTTCATATTCACCACCTTTCGCATCCCACGCTGGCAATTTGATCAGGCAAATTGGAACCTTTACTCACACCTAACTGTTTTTTAGAGAGGTTCCTTCTTCGTCCTCCATCGATGAGCTTTTTTCACCTCTTCTCGTCCTCCGTTTTAAAAAAACCCCAGCTTCTCATTCTATACCCCAAACTTCGGCAGGCATTCTCAGAAATGCGTGCCTTGGTGGGCTCCTGCTTGTGCTCTGCAGTACGTTTGAAACGTGCTGCATGGGGCAGGTACCAGTACAATAGAACCACAGAGAGACTTCTTGAATTTAAGCAGAAGCGTGCGATCGCTCGCCGTGTCATCTGTGACGCTAAACGCACTTGCTGGCGAGATTATGTCTCCACCATCACCTCTGCTTCCTCTATGAGTGCAGTCTGGAAAAAGGGACGAAAACGAGTGGCCAAAATTCTCCTGACCCGGGTCCTGTTCTGTGCGGGTTGCCGGTTGATATAGCAAACCCACTAATGTTGCCAATGAAATTGGCAATCATCTGGTCCGTATTTCTCAGGGACTCCATCTATGCCCCTCATTTCTTTCCTCAAAGTCTGCCAGAGAGTTAGCACCCTTGGGCTTTTCTTCTCTCAGAGAAAACAGTATAAGTGCCTTTACACTTCAAGACTGGGGGCAACACTCTCAGCTTGCCAATCATCGGCAGCTGGCCCGACGACATTCATATTCGTATGCTACAACATTTACATCAGTCAGCCCTTGCAGTCCTATTAAGTGTTTACAATCTTATTTGGTCACAAGGAGTTCTTCCACAGCTGTGGAAATCCGCCATTGTTCTCCCTTTCCCAAACCAGGGACTACAGGACATGAAACCCCCACTAAACTCCCATTGCTCTTTCCAGTGCAGTTTGCAAAGTGATGGAACGCCTAGTAAATAGACGTTTTTTGTGGTATTTAGAGACACACAACAGTCTCCCACTCGTCAATATGGCTTTCGTAAGGGACGTTCTACCATAAACTCCTTACTAAAGCTTGGAAAACGTATGTCGTAATGCCTTTGCGAATAACCACTCAGTTATTGCCATAATTTTTTTGACCTTGAAAGGCATATGACACAACTTGGAGGGATAATATTTAGCCCAAGCCCACTCCTTAGGGCCCTTTGAGGCAATCTACCATCCTTCCTTAAGAACTTTTAACTGACAGGGATTTCCGTGTTCGGGTTAATAAAATTGCTCTCCCCGGACTTTTTCCAAGCTGAAGGTGTCCCCCAGGGGGTGGTTCTGAGCACAACACTTTTTTCTTTCCCTTTTATTAATGATTTGGCCTCTAGTCTTCCATCAAATATTTGGTCATCACTCTACGGTGATGACTTCACTATTGCCTGTGCAGGCGCTGACTGTCACCTTATTACAGTTTCTCTCCAGCATGCAGTCGACCGTTTTCCAATTGGGCCACCACACGTGGGTTTAAATTTCCAGCACTAAAACCCACCAAATTACTTTCGCTAGACGCTCTGTCATCTCCGATCACCTTTGTACCTCTATGGCTCCCAAAATCCCTGAACGTGATACAGTCAAGTTTCTGGGCCTCCTCTTTGATCGTAGGTTATCCTGGAAACCTCACATTACCTCTCTGAAGGCAACTTGCCACAGCCGGCTGAACCTCCTTAAAACCCTTGCTCATCTTTCATGGGGAGCTGATCGTCGAACCCTCCTTCGCCTACATTCCACCCTTATCTTATCAAAACTTGATTATGGTGACCAGATCTATTCAGCGGCATCTCCTGCTACTCTCTCTAGAGTTAACCCCATTCATCACCAAGGATTACGTTTATGCCTAGGTGCTTTTCACTCTTCCCCTGTCAAGAGCCTCTATGCAGAAGCGAACGTTCCATCCTTATCCGATCGCCGTGATGCCCATTGCCTTCGCTACTATGTATGCTCTCATGATCTCCACAATCCTTCCATTTATAGAATGGTCACTGATATTAGTAGACATTCTTTATTCGTTCGCCGCCCCTGTTTACTCCATCCCTTCTCTCTTCGCCTTCATTCGCTCTTGTCTTCTCTTCAATTACCACCTTTCTATGTACATGTAGCATCTCACTTTTCCCTACCCCCCTGGGAAGTTCCAGCTGTTCGAGTCTGTTCTTTCTCTCTCCCTTGCTCGAAAGCTTCCCGCTCTCATTTTCTTGACCACTTTCACTCTCATTCTCATGCCATTGCTGTGTACACAGATGGCTCTAAGTCTTCTGACGGCTTAGGATTCGCAGCAGTGTTTCTGGACAGCGTAGTACAAGGGCATTTACTATCTTCGGCTAGCATTTTTACTGCTGAATTGTATGCCATCCTTACAGCACTTATCCGTATTGCATCTATGCCTGTGTCATCATTTGTGGTTGTCTCAGACTCCCTTAGTGCTTTACAGGCTATACAGAAATTTGATACACCTCACCCCTTAGTCCTCCG